TGACCCCTTTTGCAACGTTCATATTAATGCTACCTATGGGTCCACGCTATCCTGGGTTTGCAATTGTTTCTTAAAAGAGATCAAATGAAGCTGTTTAGGCATCTGGAACTTCCACGCTTATAAAGAGGGTGATAGGGTAGCGAAAACCGATAGGGTAGCATCACTGCAAACATATGATAAACGTTATCACACCGTTTGTGGATTTCGTGCCATCGCGCGATCACCTATCCACGCCTCAAAGCTGACAATGCACCACAAAGCAGTAAAAATAAGTGATCCAGAAGCATCATTTAAGGCATTCTTCTGTAATGAGCCCCCGATCTACTTACTAATACAAAGCCAGCGATTGTCTAGCGTTCAAATATTGCTCCCCACATTTCCGGCCAGCATTTATTCAGCGACCCGCCGTTCGGCCCGTGAACGGCGTTACGCAAAACGGGACAAGCAGACTGACAGACAGATGCACCCTAAGCAAACAGTTGAAGACAAGAGCTGGCGGGCTCACTTCACTAAACGACGGAGCGTCTATATACGAGTTATGGTTGCATTATTTTCGGGATGCGCTGAGCACCATTCATTTGATTCCAAACCGACCTGAACCCTGGCTGCTCAGATGTCTGTCGGAAACCGGGTGTTCTGTGCTGACTACCAGGGACGTTCACATCTGGCTCTCCAGATCCCCACTGCGATTGAAACGTTGTTATGCATTGCAAAATTTCAAGAAAACCGCACTTTCTACCACTGCAAATGTCATATAACCCTAATTTCGCCACTGCCACTTGCCCATGCTGCTGCAATGTTTCTGTGGTGTCAGACTCGTTAGTGACTCCAACACACGCCTCGTGAAGCCAATGTAATAGTACTGTTTTGTCGTAGCAGCAGGCTTCACTGAAAACCTAATGCATTTCGTAGGTCTTCTTATCGAACTCGTTGCAACTCATTGTTCGGTCGATGCGTGGGGTTTCTCTGGCATTTGTCAAAGCGAAGAGCTCGGGTAATGCACTTGATTGTCACCACAGCTCCCCTTTCCCGCCACATCTAACGGAGGATTGAATGAATGGATGAATGAATGAGTGACGGCTGTCGGATGCCGACAAGATACGGCGCGCGTACGATTCGTCGTTTTACTTAAAATGCTGGCTGCCGGCGGCTGGACCCTTGGGTCTACCGGTTCCATTTTGGCGACACGAGAATTTAAATTTGTCACCGTCTAGGTACAATCCATCTGTGGACAGGAGAGTGCATATGGTGGCAAATAAATGGATGATAAATGTAGTCAGATACCTAAACGAATCAGTAGACGCAGCGATGTCAATATAGCCGCGACCTGGTCACAGTTTCGACGAAAGCGTATTGTATTCGACACCGTCTTTTTCAAATGCTAACATTCCTGGCTTACCCAACGAATACTGGTGCACCTGCGCGTCGCGTTCACTCGTGTTGGCCTCATGAATAAACGGCGGTGCATCGGTCGACGTTTTCGAATGGAATTCGCGCCTCGAAACACTCTGGCTGCCGGAATACAGTAAAAACGCGTGATGATGTAAAAACCGTCGAATTAATATTGGCAGCTTCTATGCACATACCTTGTGGCGAGTCCGACCTTGTGTCTGGCACCACGCGTTTCCCTGTTCCACTATCTACCTAAGCGTGTGAATTTCTCGTCGCTCCGGTCCCTGGTTGCCTGGTCGCCGGTTTTGTCGCCGGTGACATTTCTGGCCGCCCGTTGAAAACCAATGAAACTAAAACGGTTCTTCCGCCACGTGCCACGCCCGAACCCTGGACCGCAGTGACTCGCGATCTTCCTGTGGAAAACCGCCTCGTGCGTCTGCACCTCGTGTCCACATTTCACTACTCAGCGACCCACTGTTCGGCTCGTGGATGGTGTTATGCAAGACGTAACGCCGCCTTTAAAACGTGACGGACATGCACACAGACGCACCCTGAGCAAATAGCACATGAACCCTCTCTTTGAGCTGGTTTCGAAAGTTATGTTTTGTTTTTCATACATAATTTATTCCTGGGAACAAACTACCAGATATGTCATGTGCCACGCCCTGGCGTGTGCATTTTCATTGGAGTCCATTTACATGCCAAAGTCCACTTTCAGCTAAACATGCTGGGCTCTCCAACGCTGATCAAACTTTTGGGTTTACACTAGGCTTACAAATTCATACTACCGTGAGACAGCACAAGACACTCGGTTTTACGACGGCATGTTCATGTTCGCGTGGTCTGTCATCAATACAGATACTTACGTAGACAGGTTTGCGGGTGACTGTGGTGTAGTGGTCAGGGCGCCCGGCTGTGAACCATCAGTCTTGTGTTCGGATCCCTGTCATGCTACCAACGTATCTCACGTGCTACCTAATGAAGGCATCCGTCTCGAAATGACCCTGGTGGTCGGTGAGACGTAAAGCCCTTACCATTATAAATAAACATATTTCTTCGCCTTGCGCTGTTAAGATTTTTGTGCTAATCTGATGTCCAGGCAGGGCAATAAAAGTCGGGTAGAAAGAAGTCCCGTACATGAACTTCAACGTAAGACTCGAATTTTGCTAGGTGTACAACGACGTGCTAAAATTTCAATTTCCGCTAAAGACATGTCGGCCTCTGATTGCAGGCTGGGTGACGGAGACCATGTTGACGCTATTGTCCAGCTTTTCCAACGGCAACAAAAAACTGCCAAGAAATGAATGTTATATTTTACTGATAGCGAGCATCTGCTTCCAGAAATCCGGAGTCAAGTCCCAGTGTGAAGAGCCACCCTTTTGGCATCATTGGCTGGAGAATATTGCCAAGATACCAAGGGCAACAACAATTTTTGAGTTCGAAGCAAGTTGCAAAATTAAATCGAAGAGCCCCTGCTGTTTACTTCCAGTGGCATACTACCAGTTATGCAATGCGAAGCTTCGCGAGCTAAGCGGCCTCCAAGGCCTTTGATCAGTCACTCCATGTGCACCATGTAATTGCCTGTCGTAATGATGAGGCAAAGATATCGGCTAAAATAAAAGCGGTGCACTCTAAACGATTTCTAATAATCCCCGTCACCAGTCGGGAAAATCTCTTCGAGAGGCGCATTTGTGATGGACACTGAAAGTGACGCCGTTATTGTAGCTTTGGTGCATTTCGCAGCCTTTCGCCGTAAAAGTTCACAAATAAACCTCGATACATGAAAGAGGCAGCGCAATGAATGCGAAGGCGAAGCTGAGAATCGCTCTTCCGAGATTGTTCGTCATCGTGAGTTTAATTTTGAATTTTTCAGTGCATTTTCCTCACGACACGCTGTTCACAGTACTTACAGGTATTCATCCATGCAACAGCATTTTGTGAAAGTAATATACGTTTCTTTTCATCTATGATGGAAATACGAATATCCTGCGATAAAGAACCGAATGTTAACGGTGGAAAGTTTTTGTGAGAGGGAGCCATATCCCGAATTTTTCTACTTCCAACGCGTGAATATCTGGGCAGGGAATGACAGGTCTTACAGGCTATTTCACCTCACACACAACTAAAAAATAGAAATATTAAGTAAGACAAACCAAGCCGACCTTTGTGCTTAACAGCTCGTTTTTGCATTGTGTTTGCTGCAGTTTGTGTCCATGAAACTTACCACGGGAAGTAAGAATCGAACACATGCCATAGACGCACCAGAGCACAGTAAAACAAAAAAGCAGCGTGGGATATTCCGAGTGACTGTCTTGCGATTGAACGAATGACGACTTGCCTGTAGTGATTCCATTGTAGCTCATCCCAGCTATGACATTTTTGAATGACTCCTGTTGTATTGTTTACTTGAGTAATCGGGTACGAAGCCGTGTCCCGCGCTAGGCTCCCGTGTTACCTGATCGTGTATTCTGGCCTTTAATTTGGAGTTATATGCCCAGATCTATTCAAAACCCATTTCAAAAGCAAGCCAGTTGCGATTGAGACGGTGTGCAAATGTGTGCTGGTGAATTTGCAGCAAGATCGTGTTGTGAATCTCGAAAAGTCAGCAACCAGAGAGCATGCAGCCCTCCGAAACATGGGAAGCTCAGCCTCCTCCCCCTCCCTTCCCCACCACCCATCAACGGCAGCTCGAGTGCTCTGCCCAGCTTCGTAAGGCATGATTGAGGCTACACCAGCAAGAAAAAACACGATGTGAAAAACACCGGCCGCGCCGCAGTGCGCCCTCCGGCGCGGCGGCCGGCCGGCACCGCGAGCGACTTGCCAGAGTCCGGCGGTGCTGCAGGGCTGGACGGCGCGTCTCACCTGCCCCCCCCCCCCCCTCATCGGCACACCGCCAGGCCGCACAACAGGGCATCGTGCGGGCATCGTCACGGCATCGTCACGGCATGGCCGGGTCGTTAAAAACCGAGTTATGCTTAGTCACATACCCCGTGAATGAGGTGGGGTGCATCAATCGCGGGATGCAGCATATAAATGTGTGGTGCATGCAAGCTTTGGCAAAGCGGTACTGACAACATGACTGCAATATCAAACAGGGAAAACGACCAATAAGGAAAGAATGGTTTAAATCTCATGCAGTCACATTTTCTGATCAGTGGAGAGGATTGCATACTTTTTTTAATGATGACTAGATGGTATTTTGTTGTTCGGTACCTCCTTCGTCGCTCAAGTATTTTTGTGTGTAAAAACCCGAAGTTGGTCGAATGGAGAGCTTTTGAAGAAACGGCTTTATGCACATACACGAGCAAAGTACCAGACCCATATTGTGTTGACTACCACATATCTCATATTTTAGGAATAAAAGAGTGCGCACCAGGAACACGTTTGTTGCTAACAATGCACGGAGATGCAATGATTGGCTGTGGACGTATTGCCTATTCGTACATATGGAAACGGCTCGGCTCGCGGGGGGGGGGGCGGTACATAATGTTGCAAGGTCAGCAACGTTTGCCGTGCTACTCTCTATACTGAACAGTGTCTGTGGGTTATGTCTGTTTGTGCCACGCGCCGCTGTTCTGAGCGTCGTGTTGGCGGTGCTGGTCGCTCACCTGTGCGATGCTCCGGCAGTGCTGGTGCTGCGCTTCTCCGACGATGCTCCTCACTCGGCTGTGCGCTGCGCCGTCGATGCTGCTGTCTGGCCCGTGCGCCGTCGGTGCTGCCGCCTGGCCTGAACGCCGTCGGTGCCGCTGTCTGGTCCGTGCGCCGCGGCGTTGGCTATGACGTCTGCGGCGCCGCACCGCTCGTTTTTATACGGTTCCGGCGCGCGTCGCGGGGCCTCTGCGGCGCCGGACGGCACCTGCGCCGCCCCCGGGGGGCGCCCGGCGCAGCTACGCGCGCTGCGAGGTCCTTCCTCCGTCCGCCGCCCTGCGCCTCTAATGGATTAATGGCAGGCGGACAGGGTCAGACACTTCGGCCGGTCAGGGGTACGCAGCTGTCACACGCTGTAACGCGGCTCGCAGAGCGGCAGCAGGGGAGAGACTGCGTGCGTGACGGTCTCACACATAAACTATCGTTGGCAGCCGGCTGGCTGCTCAGTGCTGAACTCAGGATGTGCGACAGTCCTGCCGTCTGGGATGCATTGTTCGCAGTGCCGGTGCGTAGCGAGGTGACTACAGTTTCAGTGTCTCTGAACGTGGGAAGACGCAAGCCGTTTTACGGAAGATTTTGTCATGGTCACCGTTGTACCAAAATCACGCCTCTATGCCTTCTGGCTGCCACTGAGCACATCGTTTCGCTGTGTTTGGTCCCCCACGTGACGTAACAACACCAGTCCGACGACAAGCCGTTGTTGTTCCGTCATTTTTTACTTTTTTTTTGTTGCTTAAGTCACGTGACACCTTCCGGTGACATCAGCGATAATCCGGTCGCATCGTGACGACAACGACACCTGCGGTAACCCGATGGTCTGTATCTGATCGGATCGGTGACCTGATGGTCTGGACCTGATCAGTTCAGTGACCTGGTCGCCAGGACCTGATCGGATCTGCGACTTGTGCCCTTGGAACTCACTGGATCAGTGACGTGGTCGCCGCAGGTCGCCGCGACTGTGGCGTAAGATATCACGTTTGGATGAGGGTCGAAATAGATACAATCGCTGGATTGCACGTCTTTTTTGCTGGAAATGTTGTCGCCTCGTGTTCTGACCGATTGCCTAGCGCGCGTCGCATTCACCGACCGGCTAAGCTAATCACGTTGTCTTGTGTATTGCGTTTGGAGAAACAAACGCCTTTAAAACTGAAGCTAATCTCAGTCTCAGGTCAAACCGGTTGTTTAGTTACTCGGATTAGAGCCCTATCGACCAGCCTCGATCATTTCAGGGCTGTAGGATGAACGAGCGTGGGTGACGGTGTGGCAAGGCTGCACACACCTGGAGACCTACCCGCCAAGGCTTAACTCGCACGGTAGAGCTGCCACTTTCTGAAACTGGGAAAGCCCGTAAACGCCTCGCTCCCAAATCTGAAAACCCGCCATGCCAAGTAAGGCTCGTTTCCCCAAATAAGCCCTCATGGGGCCGCCAATCCTATTTTGTATTTTGGATACACATAATCTACCTTACAATATTATCAGTTCCGAAGCAAGAAATTGTAAGAAGCTTTCGAACCTAGGTATTCCTTCAGTTGATTTTCACGACTAACATCAAGAAGCCCTATTTTTCATTCCAGGCACACGGACTTGGTGTCATCATAATATAAGGCCACCATAAAATACGTAACGCTACTAGCTTGCAGCCCCACCTGCTTTTTATAAACTAACACTGGATTAAGTTGTGTTTTATTCATCTCGAGATCTAGCAAACTGGAACGACGGCTAATTTTGCAGACTGATGAAGAGCCAACGTCTGCTGCATCCAAGATAGGTCGTTTTTTGTAGCCAACTGCACAGCTATTTAGGCACTCCACATTGCATACTTCTTTTACATTTTCAAATACATCCTTTTGTTTTTATCCTATAAAATGCATGCTTCTTTTACTTGGTAAGTTCCCTGAGAGAGCAATGGACATGAGCCTGTAGCCACTTGAAAATTGAAACAAAAAGAATTATGAATAAATCTTCTAACCATTTTCAAGCGTCGTTTGCTACCTCCATTGCAAGCACTGGTATTTGGCGGTCAAAGCCCCGCGCTTTCGAAATTCGCTAAGGAAGTGACTACATTACACAAGAGTCGAGACGTTGCTTTTCACTGTCAATTGCAGTCAAAACAGCGTAGTCTGGTTCGATGTGACGCGCCGTCAATTCCCATGAGCAAACCTCATAATGGCCCCCCGGACATCTTCCATTCGCTCGCGCTGAATCAGCGACCACAGCCCACTGAAATATGGACAGAAGCAGCAGCCGATAATGACGCTCTAAGGACTCTGGCTGCCTGAGCTTGTCAGCGGCTCGATCAGCAAATTGGCCGAGTGGTGGGCGCCAAACGTGCTTGCGCTGTCGACAGTTTGTGTGAATAAGCATTGCCTGTGCCCACCCGGCCAATATCCGTGCAATTGCCGGCCTCACACAGCGCGGCAGCGCGCCGCGTGCTCAAGAGGCTGGCGTCCACGCCAACGTGCAGCGAGCAGGCATTTGCGGCCGCGCGCTCACTAGGCCTCGCTAGTTAGGCCTTCACGAGGCCTTCACTAGTCTTATGTACTGCATGTATTTGGGCTCCAGAAGGTTGGGGGGAGCAAACACGTCGTTGGGGAAGCCAGATTGGATGTTGGGGAAAGCAGGGACTCACCCAAAAGAATACAAATCAAAACCCGTGTTCGTGCACACAACTTCATTGATGATTGTTTGATGCCAGCTAAAGCCACTGTCTGGATAAGGTGCGAGGTGTATAGGCCGATGGATCCAATAATGGTCGTTATAATAACAATATGTGCTGGCAACGTCAAACAGTGTCTATTTTTATGTAAAATGGCAGCAAGACTGCAATTCAGTCACATTCGAAATTTATCACTCATTTAACATACTTTAATTGTTCCACATGTTTCCAGGAAGCGCAGATATTCCAGCACATGTAAGGCTTCCACAACAGGGAAAAATACGCTGCAAAGTTGCCGAAACAGAGAGGTTTTTTACCCGCGCTCCCAGAGCCTGCTGCTGGTCACACAGGAGTGTTACACAACACGCCGTCGTCAAATTGCCGTGTGTCGAGTACGAAAGTGACGTGGGTGGTACACCTGGGTCCTGTAAACATACAAGTAAAACGGAACGGGGCCGGAACGAGTCAGGGCTTCGTAGTGTGAGCAAAGTTGCTTGTTGTTGATACGTTGATATTGTTGAAAAACGAGGATCACTGACATGTTGATGAACGAACGACTTTGAACAACACCCTCCGCTCCCGGGGCACACGCCATCTCCAGGGGAGGGGGATTGCGCCCAAACAAGGACGTTGTAACCGGGGAAGCGGGACAGTGGGGTATCCCCCCCCCCCCAACTTGAAAGCTATGGGTTGCCGCCCCCTTCCCATACTTGGAGGGTCTGTGAAGGATCGATTCTGGTATGTTAAGGGCCCATGCTGAACGGTAATGGGGTAATGTAAGGATGTTGAAGTGCATTCTGACCTGTGAAGGTCTCGCTCTGGGGTTTTTGGGCCCCTTCTGACCAAAGAAGAGCAATTCAGAGTCTTAAGAGTGTCCGTTTCGGCCTGTCGAGGCCCATTCTGATCAGAATACGGCCCATTATTGGCTGTGGCGGCCGATTCTGGCCTGTAAAGGAATCATTCTGACCTTAAGAGGGTTCGTTCTGATCTTAAAAGGACCCATTCTGGCCTTTGGAGGGCCCATTTTGACATGTAGACCGTTATGACCTGTAGGCAGTCCATTATTTGCTATCGAGATCGCAACTCCATTGTGGCTTACACAGGGTCATTCTGGTATGTCAGGGCCTTTCATCAAGGTTTAGGGCTCATTTTGGCATTTTGGAGTTCCCTCTCACCCCAACTTGAATATAATTCCGGCGCCCCTGCACTCGAATCCTCCTTGGCCACATCGCCGTCGGTTGCGTGCGTAACGTGATCAGCGCGGCGCTAGGCAGTGTCCCTACAGAGCTGGGCTGCGGCTGTGGCTGCGTTTGCGGTTCGGTCTGGGCCTGGTACTGGGGCTCGTAGCTTTACAGCACATTCTGGTAGCTTTACAGCACACTTATACCACGAGTGAAATTTTTGCATGTGCTGGACTAAATACGCTTCTAGGAACAGTTTTCGCCTCCTTAATTTTCATTTACAGCATACAATGCAATTTACAGACGTTAGCTATGTGGGGATCGGCCCTTGAAAAGTTGTAAGGTAAGATGTAGTTTAAGTTCACTGGTAACCATTCACTGCCAGTTCTGGCCATCATTGCATAATGTGGATCGCTCACAAATTGCCTTAAGCTGCGTGCAAGGGGATATGGTTACACAGGTATCTGTGCGTCCAAGCTAAATCCAAGGTGCATTTCAATGGTTTTTGCGACTTTTAGCTAACACAACAGCGTTTAAAATCGATACAAATCAAGGCGTCATACTAGAATCTCGTAACTCCAATCTGCAAAATTCATGGGATGATAAGGCTTGCCCAGTGAAATGGCAATCAAGGGTACATTGATTGAGAGAATGGGCATGTTACATATGAAAAAATCATACAATGTATAGGTAATGCTTTGCATGTAATGCTTTGTAATGCAATGTAATGCTTTGCATGTTGGAAGCATGTGGTAATTTCTCTGACCATTATTCGCTGCCAGTGGTGCCCAATATTTGCTTTTGTAAAAGTTCATAAACTGGGCATGATGTGTTCAAAAAGGTTCATAAAGTCACCTTATATGTACTTAAGTTAAAGTAATGGCACATTTAGGCACATGGTGGGTTGGCAACATTGTGATCTTATGATGTTTTGAAGCTTGACACCTAGAGTATAACTTTAACAGCGTTGTATTGTCTCAGCTGCTCATTCTTAGTTCTCCACCTGCAGAGATAAATAGACAACAGACATTAGTGAGCGTTAACATCTTATTAGTTTCATCACTCCGAGCATTAAATAGGCATTGTATTCCTGCATTATTTCCATGACATGAGCATCAACACTCATTTTGTCCTCACAAAGGCTTATCGCAGAATTACCCATTCGCCACTACAGGTTACACCGCCGACAGTGAATAGTGTCTCACAATTAGTTTTGACTCGTTATTTTCATCTAGTCGTCAATTTTTTTGTTGTTGAAAATTTGCCAATT